ATATGGCAAATAGAAATCCTAAATGGATGGTGTTAAAAGATAGATGGGAGGTGTTGAATGGAATTGAAGGATGGGACTAATAACAACTAACAACAAACAATAACAAGATAACTAATAATGTAAGCACGGTGTGTCCATAATAAGTGTATGGGTTGTAGGTTGGGAGCTTTTGTGAAGGAGCACAGTTAGAAAGATATGGCATATAGAAGCAAACCGGATGGACATCATGAAAATGATCGGAGAGGTTGAGAGTAGAAGTAGTTCAGGAGAAAGAACAAACAAAATGTAATTATTGTAAAATTGACTGTGTCCATAAAATGTAGATAGTGGGTATGGGCTGGAAGTAGAGGGCTAGGCGTTGTTGTTCACTAGTTTACTCCAAGTGGGGAAAGGGTGGCGGGGTTGGAAAGTAATAAAGGGGAATATATATATTTTTTAAAGGATATGTATGTGTGTGTGTGTATATGTGTATATATATATATGTATATGTATGTATATATATTAGATAGATAGATATAGAAGAAAATAAAACAATTATAATTTGAAGTTTTATTATTATGTAGGCAACTTCTTCTTCTAGGCTAAATGTTATTATTTTTAAAAAATGATATTCATTTATGATTTATAGCAGGGATGAAGACGCAACGGGCAATGTATTTATTTTCAATAAAACACTAATTTCTATTCTGTTAAAATGAATTACAATCTAAATGTGATTTTGAGCACCTTGGGTGGACGCCCCAACGCGTTAAGCACCCAAAGCATATGGATGTCCGATACATTTAAAATCTTGCGGGTCACGTTGTCTGGCGGCAAATTTACGGAAACCCTGCTAAAACATAATCATTTCAAACCTTGCTTACATTTGTATACGATCACATAATTCTCTCTATTATGCATGGGAATACTTTGGAACAGATTTCCACAATTAAAATCACTTGGTGCTGATTTGCTGCAGTTTCAAAATGTCCCTGCTACATGGTATTGGAATAGCTTTATGTAAAGTGAGTAAAAACATTTTAAGTGGATGATTAAATAAATAGCATTTCATTACTTATTGAGACCCACCCCTTTTTACAACAACGACACCCACATTTGTATAGGTTTTCCAGTATCTATCAGACTGACCGGAAACAACAGAACAGGTTTAGCGATCTTGCGCATTTTTTGCGGATTTCCTTCTCCATCCCTTTCTTCACTCTGGTTGGGAATATGTCTTGTGGGTATTAATCTTGTTCATAGCGATACGAAATGAGTGGTGCATGGAATTAGGCTAAATTGAATTCTGCTTGATTATTTGACCCATCTTCCTGACTTGACATTCATTGTTTCCCACAGCCAGCAAGGGCATTAGGGTAAGAGATAATCACACGGGAACAAATAGAGAAATCAGTAGGCCTCAGTGTTACGTACCAGTGTATAGGAGCACACGTTTTCTTTGTGTCATTTTTACGAATGAATCTTCTATCCATTGTCCTCTATTTCATTATCTGAGAAAGGCAGTCTGTGTTGCGTTTTTTGACACCATGCATTTTCAAAAAGAAGTGCACACTGTACATATCCCCTTTTGCGTATTTGAGTACAAAGACTAGAGTTTGAAATGTATTGTCGGTCTGTCTGTTGTGTTTAGTGTATCTGCATTCCATATTCTGTATGCCAGTCTGGGTGAGAAATGTGTCGGCTGTATAATTGTGGCATAAATGGCACAATGTTGTGCCAAACATGCAGGGAAGGATTTGGGGTGTGTAGTGTTGACCAGTGTAGTGTTGACCAGTGTAGTGTTGACCAGTGTAGTGTTGACCAGTGTAGTGTTGACCAGTGTAGTGTTGACCAGTGTAGTGTTGACCAGTGTAGTGTTGGGTGTTTTCAGGCAATGTGTGCGTTTGCTGCTGCACTTTTTCCGCCACAGCCACCATTGCCCGTTCCTCTACACAGTCTCCAGAAACGTTGTCATGGCAATGCTTCAATGATAACGAGGCCCGGAGCTTCAGCGGGGAAATTAGAGGCAAAGTGGCCGACTTGCACCCCAGCTGACAGGCAGACCTCATCCAATTCCATCACATCACCACCCCTCTGACTCACTACTGCACGCAGCATAGCCCACACACACACACACACCACTCCTCAGGCACAACGTTGGCTAGTAGGAAAGCAAAAAATAGCCCAATGTCCAGAGAATGTCTCTGAGGAAGACCTTCAGAGGGTCTCAACTTAGCCTTTCTGCTTTGCTGTTGTGCGAATGAGTTGATATGACAGCTCAGAGGTGACCTGGATGGAAGTTTTGCATATGTATACTTCGCTATTATACACTGCTCAAAAAAATAAAGGGAACACTAAAATAACACATCCTAGATCTGAATGAATGAAATAATCTTATTAAATACTTTTTTCTTTAGATAGTTGAATGTGCTGACAACAAAATCACACAAAAATTATCAATGGCAATCAAATTTATCAACCCATGGAGGTCTGGATTTGGAGTCACCCTCAAAATTAAAGTGGAAAACCACACTACAGGCTGATCCAACTTTGATGTAATGTCCTTAAAACAAGTCAAAATGAGGCTCAGTAGTGTGTGTGGCCTCCATGTGCCTGTATGACCTCCCTACAACGCCTGGGCATGCTCCTGATGAGGTGGCGGATGGTCTCCTGAGGGATCTCCTCCCAGACCTGGACTAAAGCATCCGCCAACTCCTGGACAGTCTGTGGTGCAACGTGGCGTTGGTGGATGGAGCGAGACGTGATGTCCCAGATGTGCTCAATTGGATTCAGGTCTGGGGAACGGGCGGGCCAGTCCATAGCATCAATGCCTTCCTCTTGCAGGAACTGCTGACACACTCCAGCCACATGAGGTCTAGCATTGTCTTGCATTAGGAAGAACCCAGGGCCAACCGCACCAGCATATGGTCTCACAAGGGGTCTGAGGATCTCATCTCGGTACCTAATGGCAGTCAGGCTACCTCTGGCGAGCACATGGAGGGCTGTGCGGCCCCCCCAAAGAAATGCCACCCCACACCATGACTGACCCACCGCCAAACCGGTCATGCTGGTGGATGTTGCAGGCAGCAGAACGTTCTCCACGGCGTCTCCAGACTCTGTCACGTCTGTCACGTGCTCAGTGTGAACCTGCTTTCATCTGTGAAGAGCACATGGCGCCAGTGGCGAATTTGCCAATCTTGGTGTTCTCTGGCAAATGCCAAACGTCCTGCACGGTGTTGGGCTGTAAGCACAACCCCCACCTGTGGACGTCGGGCCCTCATACGACCCTCATGGAGTCTGTTTCTGACCGTTTGAGCAGACACATGCACATTTGTGGCCTGCTGGAGGTCATTTTGCAGGGCTCTGGCAGTGCTCCTCCTGCTCCTCCTTGCACAAAGGCGGAGGTAGCGGTCCTGCTGCTGGGTTGTTGCCCTCCTACGGCCTCCTCCACGTCTCCTGATGTACTGGCCTGTCTCCTGGTAGCGCCTCCATGCTCTGGACACTATGCTGACAGACACAGCAAACCTTCTTGCCACAGCTCGCATTGATGTGCCATCCTGGATGAGCTGCACTACCTGAGCCACTTGTGTGGGTTGTAGACTCCGTCTCATGCTACCACTAGAGTGAAAGCACCGCCAGCATTCAAAAGTGACCAAAACATCAGCCAGGAAGCATAGGAACTGAGAAGTGGTCTGTGGTCACCACCTGCAAAGCAGTCCTTTATTGGGGGTGTCTTGCTAATTGCCTATAATTTCCACCTGTTGTCTATTCCATTTGCACAACAGCATGTGAAATGTATTGTCAATCAGTGTTGCTTCCTAAGTGGACAGTTTGATTTCACAGAAGTGTGATTGACTTGGAGTTACATTGTGTTGTTTAAGTGTTTGAGCAGTGTATAATACGGTGGAGCTCTGGGACACTCAGTGGGTAGTGCCGCTGAGGCAGACAGATTTACACTTAGAAATGATAAAACCATGTGTCAGTACGAAGCTGTCGCATAGTATTCACCCAAAATAATACAACCATGTGTCAGTACGAAGCTGTCGCATACTATTCCCCCAAATAATACAACCATGTGTCAGTACGAAGCTGTCGCATAGTATTCACCCAAAATAATACAACCATGTGTCAGTACGAAGCTGTCGCATAGTATTCCCCAAAATAATACAACCATGTGTCAGTACGAAGCTGTCGCATAGTATTCCCCAAAATAATACAACCATGTGTCAGTACGAAGCTGTCGCATACTATTCCCCCAAATAATACAACCATGTGTCGGTACGAAGCTGTCGCATAGTATTTCCCCAAAATAATACAACCATGTGTCAGTACGAAGCTGTCGCATAGTATTCCCCCAAAATAATACAACCATGTGTCAGTACGAAGCTGTCGCATAGTATTCCCCCAAAATAATAAAACCATGTGTCAGTACGAAGCTGTCGCATAGTATTCCCCAAATAATACAACCATGTGTCAGTACCAAGCTGTCGCATAGTATTCCCCAAATAATACAACCATGTGTCAGTACGAAGCTGTCGCATAGTATTCCCCAAATAATACAACCATGTGTCAGTACGAAGCTGTCGCATAGTATTCCCAAAATAATACAACCATGTGTCAGTACGAAGCTGTCGCATAGTATTCCCCAAATAATACAACCATGTGTCAGTACGAAGCTGTCGCATAGTATTCCCCAAATAATAAAACCATGTGTCAGTACGAAGCTGTCGCATAGTATTCCCCAAATAATAAAACCATGTGTCAGTACGAAGCTGTCGCATAGTATTCCCCAAATAATACAACCATGTGTCAGTACCAAGCTGTCGCATAGTATTCCCCAAATAATACAACCATGTGTCAGTACGAAGCTGTCGCATAGTATTCCCCAAAATAATAACAACATAGTAAAGATGATACATGCACACCTGCAAAAAGCCTTAAATGTCATACTTGTAGTAGTAAAGGCCGCCCCCAAGCCTGACAAGGCGCTAAGCTCTAATGAAGAGGTGTCCTCACATTACGATGTCTTCATTTGTTATGGGGTTGAAGGCTGGAAGGTTGCCCTTTCTCCAATCAGGAAAGAGGGTGTGAGTGTGCTACTTGGCTGCATTTTCCTTCCTCTCAACCCCCTCACCCTCTTGTCTCTTGCAGAGATCTTCCTCAGTACGGGCACAAGCAGTGGCAGTCCTACTTCGGCCGCACCTTTGACGTCTACACCAAGCTTTGGAAGTTTCAGCAGCAGCACAGGTCAGCTGACCACTGACTGCTCCGTTCTCTCTGACACACATTTTCCCAGATGGATAGATCAAGAACGTTTGAGCCTAGTGGATTAGATGGAGAAATGTGTTGGCTTAAACATTAATTTTAAACGCAGCATTGCTTCTTTTTTTTCTATTCTTGCTTGGGAGCAGGCAGGTCCTGGACAATCGGTATGGCCTGAAGAGATGGCAGATAGGGGAGGTGGCATCCAAAATAGGCCAGCTGTACTACCACTACTAGTAAGGTTCCTCCCAACTGCACACGCACACACACACACACAGAATGTTGTCACATATCCTTATCTTTCATGTCCTGGAACATTTTGTTTGTCTGATCCGTGCTTAAACTCCGGTAACTTGTGTGATAACGAATCCTGGTTCAAACAATTTATGGTACTTGATGGAGAGGTCGGTCCAGTATCTAGGATCTAGGGGTGGGCCCGACTCTAAATCCGTTATTCGGATGTGCACAAAAAGTTAAACTGGGAAAGAAAATACTAAATGTTTCAGAATTAGCTGCCATTTGTAGCTATTTAGTTGCCACATGTAGCACTGTTTGTGTGCACCTGTGAATTAAGCAATAAAAAAGGTACAATGACAAAAAAACAATGTAAATCTTGTAAACTAAAATTACTATTTTATTTGGGATTAAAACTAATATGTTTGGCATAACTGAATTTTGGAAAGACTGACTAAAACAAAATAAAAAACGGTGTGAGATGGATTTCTTTACGGTATAAAAACAAGCTGACATGCAGAATTCGTATTTCCTGAAGCGTTCTCTAAATGTATTGAGTTGATCAAATTTGTTTCGTTCTTGATACACTTATTCTGGAACTACCAGGGTACCATTGTCACACTCAATACCGAGGTCTTGGCACACCATTTTCTCTTTTTGTGTTGTAGTCTTCGTACCTCAGAAACAAGTTACCTGAATGAGGCCTTCTCGTTCTACTCGGCCATCCGCCAGCGGTCCTACTACTATCAGGTCAACAAAGAGGATAGGTGAGTGCCAACGCAAGGCATTTTATTGATTTTAAGAAATTTGATAGAGCACTCTGAACATGCCCGTCTGGCTTCCAGTCATTTTTGGTCCCAGGAGGTTAATGCTAGCCAGAGGCTGTTGTAACATAGCAAAACAACTGAACTATGCACTTAAAAGCGTGGGTCAATTGAATACAGACAAGGTATGGATAAAACCATATACATTTGTATTTGGAGTGAAGTATCCCTGACAGTCAGACAACTTAACAATAATGCAAAAATACATATGAGTAACAGGGGTAGTTTATATACTTGCAGTTTCTGTGATTTCTGTGATTTAAATCAAATACATATATTTTTTTTACCCTCAGCACATTACGTTTTTCAACATGTTCAAGAGCTTTTGAGGTCTGAACAACTTCAACCAATGAGATTTTAGATAGCTAGCTAACGTTGCTAATAACTTAGCTAGCTTGCTAAGGTTGGCAATGTGAACAAACTAGCTACATGATTAAGGCTGTAAATGGCTTTGTTTCATTACCTATTGGTTGAAAAGGTGAACGGTCAGTGATGAAACGTGTCAACTCGTAGACTCAAATTCTGAGTTTCCCACTTGTAACCCCGACTTGGAGCGTCGTTCGGCTATGTTAGAGTTGGAAAGTTGTATTTCCGAATTTCCGACAGCACTTGAATGCAGCTTTTTTAGCCACTAAATAATTGTCTGTTTGCTGCTGAACCAGGTGAACGTAGTAATGGGTTAGCTGGCTTGCTAACAGGTTTTAAAAAATGACATTTTTCAAAACCCAGCTAAACCACTGATGAGCTGTAAGAGCTGTGAAAGGTGGGTGAGTGATTTAGCTAGCAACAATCCACATGGCGATAATGTTTATTTTTACATAATGATATTTGTTGAAGGTGTTTATGGTAGACTGAGCCAAATTACATAATCACATTTAAACAAGTATACATGTCTTTGTCACTTGTATGAGCTCTCAAAAAGTCATGAAATCTATAGAAAGATACTGGCAGAGTACCTGCAGTCACAAAATTGTTGTGAATGTTCCAAAAGCTAGATTCATTTGGTGCTGCTGGAACAAAACACATAAACATTTTACTCTGTGTGTTTGTGCTTGCCAGGGATAGATTGTAACACAACTCTGTATTCCATTGTCTCACCCTCCTGTTAGGCCTGAGTTGGTAGTGAAGAAGCTTCGGTATTATGCCCGGTACATAGTTGTCTGTTTACTTCTGAACAAGATGGACCTAGTGAAACTGCTGGTCAAGGTAAGAAACATGTGGATAAACAAACGATTACCAGAGGATGTTCTCAATCTCCTTTGTATCTATTTAGGCCTTTCTGTTGTATTTATTTTATTTTTGGAGTTTAGTATGTAGACGTTTCAGCCTGAAAATGTTTAATTATAAAATACATATATTTAACTTGCATGCATTAGTGTGCTTTGTATGGTGTGTATAACATGGGTCTCCCCTCCTGCAGGAGCTGTCAGAGGAAATCGAGGACTACACACAGCGTTTCAACACAGAAGATCAGTTGGAATGGAATCTGGTCTTACAGGAGGTGGCAGCTTTTGTGGAGGTCAGATCCCAAATAGGTTGTGTGTTTGTACTGATATGTAGGCTACGTGTGCCTTTTTAAAATTGATGTAGTTCTGTCCTTGAGCTGCTCTTGTCTATTAATGTTATGTATTATGTCATGCTTCATGTTTTGTGTGGACCCCAGGAAGAGTAGCTGCTGCTTTCGCAACCGCTAATGGGGATCCTAATAAAATACCAAAGAATAACCTGACTGTATATAAAGAAACACTGCAGGAGTGTTTTACACACTAATGATAGGCAGTTAACCCCCTTAGAGTCTATGTCCGCGGCCCCGCAGAACAATTTAATTAGCATGATAATAATACATCCCCATCAAAATCTGTCAGTTTAAGCTATAATGACCCCTCTTCATGGAAAGATGAGACTCTAACGAACACGATAGTGTTCTCTGTTTTGTTCTACGACCCTCACAAGCGTCACGGGACTCGTCTGAAGTCAGAACAGCCGATCTGCCAACTTCTGTCTGTAGCGTCCAAACAGTTTGGGCTACACTCTATGACCACTGTATGGAAAGGCAAGTCTGTCACGAACACGTACAGTACCAGTCAAAAGTTTGGACACACCTACACATTCAAGGGTTTTTCTTTATTTTTACTATTTTTTACATTGTAGAATAATAGTGAAGACATCAAAACTATGAAATAACACATATGGAATCATGTAGTAACCAAAGAAGTTTTAAACAAATAAATTTTTTTGAGATTCTTCAAATAGCCACCCTTTGCCTTGACAGCTTTGCACACTCTTGGCATTCTCTTAACCAGCTTCACCTGGAATGCTTTTCCAACAGTCTTGAAGGAGTTCCCACATATGCTGAGCACTTGTTGGCTGCTTTTCCTTCACTCTGCTGTCCGACTCATCCCAAACCATCTCAATTGGGTTGAGGTCGGGGGATTGTGGAGGCCAGGTCATCTGATGCAGCACTCCATCACTCTCCTTCTTGGTCAAATAGCCCTTACACAACCTGGAGGTGTGTTGGGTCATTGTCCTGTTGAAAAACAAATGATAGTCCCACTAAACCCAAACCAGATGAGATGGCGTATCGCTGCAGAATGCTGTCGTAGCCATGCTGGTTAAGTGTGCCTTGAATTCAAAATAAATCACAGACAGTGTCACCAGCAAAGCACCCCCAAACCATAACACGACCTCCTCCATGCTTTATGGTTGGAACTACACATGCAGAGATCATCCGTTCACCCACACCGCGTCTCACAAAGACACAGTGGTTTGAACCAAAAATCTCAAATTTGGACTCCAGACCAAAGGACACATTTCCACCGGTCTAATGTCCATTGCTCGTGTTTCTTGGCCCAAGCAGATCTCTTCTTCTTATTGGTGTCCTATAGTAGTGGTTTCTTTGCAGCAATTCGACCATGAAGGCCTGATTCACACAGTCCCCTCTGAACAGTTGATGTTGAGATGTGTCTGTTACTTGAACTCTTTATTTGGGCTGCAATTTCTGAGGCTAGTAACTCTAATGAACTTACCCTCTGCAGCAGCGGTAACTCTGGGTCTTCCATTCCTGTGGTGGTCCTCATGAGAGTCAGTTTCATTATAGCGCTTGATGGTTTTTGTGACTGCACTTGAAGAAACCATGAAGCTGGTTCAGAGAATGCCAAGAGTGTGCAAAGCCGTCATCAAGGCAAATGGTGGCTATTTGAAGAATCTCAAATATAAAATATATTTTGATTTGTTGAACACTTTTTTGGTTACTACATGATTCCATGTGTTATTTCATAGTTTTGATGTCTTCAATATTATTCTACAATGTAAAAAATTGTACAAATAAAAACCCTTGAATGAGGTAGGTGTGTCCAAACTTTTGACTGGTACTGTATATGTCGGTTGTTTTGCTCTAGGACGCCCACAAGCCTCACAAGAATAATCTGAAGGTAGCCGGGTACCAGTTAAAAAAATTAATGAAGGTACAGTTGAAGTCGGAAGTTTACATACACTTAGGTTGGAGTCATTAAAACTTGTTTTTCAACCACTCCACAAATGTCTTTTTTTTTAAACTATAGTTTTGGCAAGTCGGTTAGGACATCTACTTTGTGCATGACACAAGTAATATTTCCAACAATTGTTTACAGACAGATCATTTCACTTATAATTCACTGTATCACAATTCCAGTGGGTCAGAAGTTTACATACACTAAGTTGACTGTGCCTTTAAACAGCTTGGAAAATTCCAGAGAATGAGGTCATGGCTTTAGAAGCTTCTGATAGGCTAATTTACATAATTTGAGTCAATTGGAGGTGTACCTGTGGATGTATTTCAAGGCCTACCTTCAAACTCAGTGCCTCTTTGCTTGACATCATGATAAAATCAGCCAAGACCTCAGGAAAAAAATTGTAGACCTCCACAAGTCTGGTTCATCCTTGGGAGCAATTTCCAAACACCTGAAGGTACCACGTTCTTCTGTACAAACAATAGTACGCAAGTATAAACACCATGGGACCACGCAGCCGTCATACCGCTCAGGAAGGAGACGCGTTCTGTCTCCTAGAGATGAACGTACTTTGGTGCGAAAAGTGCAAATCAATCCCAGAATAACAGCAAAGGACCTTGTGAAGATGATGGAGGAAACGGTTGCAAAAGTATCTATATCCACAGTAAAACAAGTCCTATATCGACCTAACCTGAAAGGCCGCTTAGCAAGGAAGAAGCCACTTTTCCAAAACCGCCATAAATAAGACAGACTATGGTTTGCAACTGCACATGGGGATAAAGATCGTACTTTTTGGAGAAATGTCCTCTGATCTGATTAAACAAATATATAACTGTTTGGCCATAATGACCATTGTTATGTTTGGAGGAAAAATGGGGCAGCTTGCAAGCCGAAGAACACCATCCCAACCATGAAGCATGGGGGTGGCAGCATCATGCTGTGGGGGTGCTTTGCTGCAGGAGGGAGTGGTGCACTTCACAAAATAGATGGCATCATGAGGAAGGAAAATTACGTGGATATATTGAAGCAACATCTCAAGACATCAGTCAGGAAGTTAAAGCTTGGTCGCAAATGGGTCTTCCAAATGGACAATGACCCCAAGCATACTTCCAAAGTTGTGGCAAAATGGCTTAAGGACAACAAAGTCAAGGTATTGAAGTGGCCATCACAAAGCCCTGACCTCAATCCTATAGAAAATGTGTGGGCAGAACTGAAAAAGCGTGTGCGAGCAAGGAGGCCTACAAACCTGACTCAGTTACACCAGCTCTGTCAGGAGGAGTGGGCCAAAATTCACCCAACTTATTGTAGGAAGCTTGTGGAAGACTACCTGAAACGTTTGACCCAAGTTAAACAATTTAAAGGCAATGCTACCAAATACTAATTGAGTGTATGTAAACTTCTGACCCACTGGGAATGTGATGAAAGAAATAAAAGCTGAAATAAATCATTCACTCTACTATTATTCTGACATTTCACATTCTTAAAATAAAGTAGTGATCCTAACTGACCTAAGACAGGGAATTTTTACTAGGATTAAATGTCAGGAATTGTGAAAAACTGAATTTTTAAATGTAGTTGGCTAAGGTGTATGTAAACTTCCGACTTCAACTGTATATGTGGAGATACTAGTTTAGTGCATAAAATAAGGGGTTAAATCCATGTAAAAATAATGAAGTTTCGTATATCTCTGATATAGGACATATACTTCAGAACAAACTTCCTTTAGATAATTTTTTTGACCATATGTTATTCCATGAAGCTGTTATTCAATGCGTTTCTTTGGGTTAATTAGCAGTAAGGCAAAAAAAAAAAAAGATACCTTACGTGGTCCTAAAATTTAAAATTAAACAGCTAAATGATCACTGGTTGAAAAATTCCATATGTTCGCTTAGTAGAACCTGACTTGTCTTGTTAAATAAAGGTTACATTTTTTTAAATTCAAAAATATGCAGGGACATTTCATAAAGATACTCAGAGTAAACTTTTGCAGTCTTGAGAGAAATGATCAGCTTTGAGGATGGGTTTGGCTTATGTCGTTATAAGCAGAGGTTTTGGTTTTTAACAGTATTGGTATGAACTTACTTTATCCCTTCACGATCTCTTGATGACTTTTACCTTACTGTGCCTACTGCCCATTTCCTACTACGAAAGGGGGAAATGTCATAACTTATGAATGAAGGATATAATCAACACTTAAAGGAGGCCTCCACGAGTCAGCAAAAATTGGATGGGTTTCCACCAAGCATTACTAAAGTATTATCAACAGTGGCTAACCTATTAACTGAAGGACTGTCATTTAATTAATTCAGCATTTGGGGGATGAAATTATGAATGTGTATTTGTCAATCTGCGATATTTTGTGTAAAAAATGTTGCATACCACAGAAGTGTTAGTAGAACAGTGTGCACATTCGAGTACAAGTGAAGCTGTGCACAAGTGAAGCTATGTGTGATAGGTTTGTAAAGTGTGTGTGTGTGTGTGTTTTGTTTCTGTGAGCAGGCAGACCCAGTGGTGGTGCTGAACGATGAAAATACTGTGGTCTTCACATCCAATCGACTACAGGAGGGGGGCGTGCCTCAGTTGGAACAGGGAATGGTGGTTGGCCAGCTCACCCTGGCAGATGCACTAATCATTGGCAACTGCAACAACCAGGTGTGTGAACACAGATTCTAGTCTAAAGCCCAGCTCTAAAACAACTCCTAGACCACATTCTAAACTATAATAATTTGTGTTTGTCAGGTCAAGTTCAGTGAGCTAACCATCGATATGTTCCGCATACTCCAAGCTTTGGAGCGGGAACCAGTCAACCTGGCTACGACGACTTCTAAACCTGGAACATTGGTGAGGGGGAATACTGGAAACGCATCTTACACTAATGTGTTGTGGACAACAACACAGCCAGAATATTGCAAATGTAAAAGTCTCGAATGTGATATGGGCGAAAGGCAGCGCTGGCAACCCTGCATGAAACCTGTCCTGTAAACAGCTGCTTACTCTGTGTCTTCCTTCACAGGCCCTTACCCCATGTCTTCCTTCACAGGAACCCAGCGAGAAGCCAGCCAAGAGAGAAAACCCTCACAAGTACCTGCTGTACAAGCCAACGTTCAGCCAGCTCTACACCTTCTTGTCTGCCTCCTTTAAGGTCAGTCTCCACCGGTCTTCCCTCTGCTCTGCCTTCATGTTCCAAAATGGCTGCTTAGCCATCATGCTTGGCCGAGCTGAAGAAAGTTGTTGCTACTTTTCATCACCCCCACCTTTTATCTGCCTTTTTATAAGCTTGTGGATTTAGCAAAATGCCAGTAGCTTTTATATGTAGTCGTTTTAGTGGTACTCTACTCCTGTGCAAAGAATTCTGTCTAGCTTACCTTAAAGGTGTTAATTTGACAACAAATCAGGTCCTACCTAGGGCTGTTACGGTGACCGTATTACCGCCACACCGGTGGTCACGAGTCATGAAGGCAGTCAAATTCCACGTGACCGTTTAGTCATGGTAATTAGGCTTATCCAAGCTCTGATGCTGCTGATGGTCATTAGTAGCCTACCAAACTTGCTAACTGCCTGGTACTCAGCACTCTAATCACTCTGACTTCAATGCAAATCTAATCAAACATTTAATGAGAGCCCATGAGCTCATGTTGCGCAACATTTCTATAGGCTATGCAATTGCATGCAAAAAACAGAGTGATGGCCTCTACTAAAAAGAGGAGGATCCCATCAGCTTTCTATAGGCTAGGCCTACTATATTTATTTCTCAACTTTCCTAATATTAAGCACATTGCTTATCTTTACAACAGGAGTATAGCCTACCTGGTTGGCATGAAATGAACCACGGGAAAAGCATCCTTCATTCGCTATTTAAGTGCGTAGATGACATGTATTTTTTTACGCTGCCGCTGTTTCGAGACAGGTTCATGATAATGGTCCATTCTAAATCAAAACAAATTTCACACATATTTAGTATATGTAAAGACGAGATTAAAGACAAGATTAAATCAAGAATAGTGTGATGGGTGACAATATTAGCCTATCACTTGTGAATTATGTATTATCACTTCTGAATGATGCCCAGCTTAAGGCAAGAAACGGCACATTATATATATATTTTTTCAAATCATAGTCGCACACCTCATGGTAACCTACAGTGAGGGAAAAAAGTATTTGATCCCCTGCTGATTTTGTACGTTTGCCCACTGACAAAGAAATGATCAGTCTATAATTTTAATGGTAGGTTTATTTGAACAGTGAGAGACAGAATTACAACAAAAAAATCCAGAAAAACGCATGTCAAAAATGTTATAAATTGATTTGCATTTTAATGAGGGAAATAAGTTTTCGAGGCTGACGTTTGGCAACTCGAACCTTCAGCTCCCTCCACATATTTTCTATTGGATTAAGGTCTGGAGACTGGCTAGGCCACTCCAGGACGTTAATGTGCTTTTTCTTGAGCCACTCCTTTGTTGCCTTGGCCGTGTGTTTTGGGTCATTGTCATGCTGGAATACCCATCCACGACCCATTTTCAATGCCCTGGCTGAGGGAAGGAGGTTCTCACCCGAGATTTGACGGTACATGGCCCCGTCCATCGTCCCTTTGATGTGGTGAAGTTGTCCTGTCCCCTTAGCAGAAAAACACCCCCAAAGCATAATGTTTCCACCTCCATGTTTGACGGTGGGGATGGTGTTCTTGGGGTCATAGGCAGCATTCCTCCTCCTCCTCCAAACACGGTGAGTTTAGTTGATGCCAAAGAGCTCAGTTTTGGTCTCATCTGACCACAACACTTTCACGCAGTTCTCCTCTGAATCATTCAGATGTTCATTGGCAAACTTCAGACGGGCCTGTATATGTGCTTTCTTGAGCAGGGGGACCTTGCAGGCGCTGCAGGATTTCAGTCCTTCAGGAATCCTGCAGGATTTCAGTAGTGTGTTACCAATTGTTTTCTTGGTGACTATGGTCCCAGCTGCCCGTGTAGTTCTGGGCTGATTCCTCACCGTTCTCATGATCATTGCAACTCCACTAGGTGAGATCTTGCATGGAGTCCCAGGCCGAGGGAGATTGACAGTTATTTTGTGTTTCTTCCATTTGCGAGTAATCGCACCAACTGTTGTCACCTTCTCACCAAGCTGCTTGGCGATGGTCTTGTAGCCCATTCCAGCCTTGTGTAGGTCTACAATCTTGTCCCTGACATCCCTGGAGAGCTCTTTGGTCTTGGCCATGGTGGATAGTTTGGAATCTGATTGATTGATTGCTTCTGTGGACAGGTGTCTTTTATACAGGTAACAAACTGAGATTAGGAGCACTCCCTTTAAGAGTGTGCTCCTAATCTCAGTTTGTTACCTGTATAAAAGCACCTGGGAGCCAGAAATCTTTCTGATTGAGAGGGGGTCAAATACTTATTTCCCTCATTTAAAATGCAAATCAATTTATAACATTTTTTACATGCGTTTTTCTGGATTTTTTTGTTGTTATTCTGTCTCTCACTGTTCAAATAAACCTACCATTACAATTATAGACTGATCATTTCTTTGTCGGTGGGCAAATGTACAAAATCAGCAGGGGATCAAATACTTTTTTCCCTCACTGTATTCCATAGGCCTATATGTTTTAATAAGGTTTGTATCACAACTAAAGTGGCCAAATAACTTCTTAAAATTAAGCACATTCATCTGCTTTACAATGGGTGTAGAGCCTAACTGGCATACGTACACAGAGTGTGAGTTTCACCATTGAAATGCACCTTTATAATAAAAGCATTACATGCATAATCGCATTTGTGGTCACGTTTGAGAATGGTGTTTTCCTGCTAATGGAACATTCATGCTTATAGCCTGCTGCCGTGTGTGCATTGCTGTCCTTATAATGTGAAGAAATAGCCTCATAGTTTATCAACATTTTAAGCTAAACGTTCTCATCTGTTGCGTCAGGCTCATTGCTTTAAACAGGTTTTTTGATGCAGGTGGTTGTATTAATTTGGGATCTATCACATCCCACAACTGTCCCAGACTGTTTGGAATATTTATTTATCGCACAGAATAGAATAGGTCAACTTTTGTACTATGGGGGATAGTAGATTGACATAGGCTAGTGCTTTTGCTGTTCGTTAGGCCTACTCATCTAGTTGGCTGACGAAAAGTAAATGTGGACAGTTCTTCCAATATGCGCCTCGGAGTTGTGTCCCCAATGTGTCAGTCTTCACTTGTAGCCTGTGAGAAAGATCCAATCACGTGACTGAGAGCCCCGTGAGTGAGAGATGCTTCGGCACGCAGCCGGGAGAAGGGAATTATTATATTCAGCCCAAGGGCACAACTGCATGGATCTTTTATAGGGGCATTACGGCCACACAAAGGGGATGCAGCTGGGAAATTCGAGGCATTATCAAGTGCTTGTCAAATTGTGAGTGAGAGGTGTTTCTTTGTTAACCGCTCAACACAGAATAGCCGCATGTGCGCACTCCCTCAAATCGTTTGGAGAAAATATCCTTTCTATTTTATTCAGCTTTGTTCAATTGTATTCTTCATACTATAAAATAATAAGCAAATGTTGTCTGCTAAATTAACTACTGTAGCCCACAGCCAATTGACATAGCCAGATCAGGACCTAACATAAGGACAAGTCAGAGTATGCTATGCTGTTCTTCTAAAATAGACTACATTTTCTTCCTATCATGTTTCTTTAGACCTGTCTAAAATAAATAATGGATTTATTGTGAAGGTGTAGGCTATATTACATGGATTTATTAGACTTTTTTTAAATGAAGGTGTTCCAAAGGTCTGCATCAGTGACTTGTAGGCTGTGTGTGGAAGCCAGGAGATGCTAAATGTGTTTATGTTAATTAACAGTCAATTACCGTGAGACCGGCAGTTATTTGCTTGACTGTCACCGGCTGATAATATTTCATGACCGCCACAGCCCTAGTCCTACCCAATGGAAATGGAAACGCTGAACAGAAAAAAATCTACATCCTGTTCTAGAGAACATCCTAATGGAATCCCATCAGAATTGAATAAAATGTAAATAAAATGTATATTTGAATAGATTAACGTAGATTTGACCAAACTCTACAATTTCTGGATGGTATTGGCTGATTTTAGGTGTTGTTTTGTAGGAGTTGCCAGCGAACAGTGTGCTGCTCGTCTATCTTTCAGCTACTGGAGTCTTCCCTACCGGACGCTTGGATTATGAGGGTACACCAGCCCCCCCTTACATTTTGTAAACACACACTCACTGGTTCACACACTGGTCAGCTTCTTCCAGCAGGAGCTGAAATTCATCTGATAATTTATTCCAAAAATGTATTTGACTGTGTTTTTTTTATCAGGACCATATGACTTTGGAGGAGTTCTCACCAACACAAACCGTGATGTGGTGAACGGGGAGACTGTACAGAAAAGGAACCAAGCCCAAAAAGAGATGCACTGGTAAGGAACAGGCGCTGGCAGTCCACTTTCCTCAATATGTTTTTTAACATTTGGCAGACATGAGATGCATGTACAGTATTGGCCTTTAAGAAGTTACAGAGAACTTGCAAAGCCCACTTTATTTGTAAACATACTCTACGATATTCACCCAAATTGTTTGTAACGTGTGTGTGTGTACATGCAATGACTGTTGACTTCTGTATGCCTTAGCCTTCACCCTGGGGACTTGTTCCCTTTCACCCGGAAGCCTCTTTTTGTCATTGTGGACTCTTCCAACAGCACAGCCTATAAGGTTGGTGAGAATTACATTCATCACAATTCCACCTTTTTTGGGTTAAGATGAGGATAATGATAACTTTATGAGGTGCTTTTCATACATTGGTAAAACACTCAACAACTTGTTTTAATTAAGACTTTCATCAGCATACTTAAATTGATTGATGGTAGTTCCCTGGATTTTCGTCATATTATTTTACTGAACAAAAATAGAAAAGCAACATGCAACAATTTCAATGATTTTACTGAGTTACAGTTCATATAAGGAAATAAGTCTATTGAAATAAATTCATTAGGCCCTAATCTATGGATTTCACATGACTGGGCAGGGGTGCAGCCATGGGTGGCCTTAGGAACCAGGCCCATCCAATCCCCACAAAAGGGCATTATTACAGACAGAAATACTCCTCAGCACCCCCCACCCCAACCCTCAGACAATCCCGCAGGTGAAGAAGCCGGATGTTGAGGTCCCGGGCTGGTGGGGTTACACGTGGTCTGCGGCTGTGAGGCTGATTGGACGTACTGTCAAATTCTCTAAAACGACGTTGGAGGCACCTTATGATAGAGAAATGTACGTTCAATTCTCTGGCAACAGCTCTGGTGGACATTCCTGCATTCAGCATGCCAATTGCAAGCTCCCTCAAAACTGTGGCATTGGGTTGTGTGATCAACTGCACATTTTAGTGGCATTTTATTGTCCCCAGCACAAGGTGCACCTGTGTAATGATCATGCTGTTTAATCAGCTTCTTGATATGCCACACCTGTCAGGTGGAGGGATTATCTTGGCAAAGGAGAAATGCTCACTAACAGGGATGTAAACAAATGTTTGCACAAAATTTGAGAAATAAGCTTTTTTTGCGAATGGAAACTTCTTGGATTTTTTTATTTCAGCTCATGAAACATGGGACCAACACTTTACACGTTGCGTTTATATTTTTGTTCAGTGTTGTATTAAAAACAAAATAATAAAGGTAACACAACACAACCCAGGGGGGCACCAGGGAGATAGGGAGACAAGATAGGGAGACAAGATTGAGAACAAGGCATGCAGAGCTTAGTTAGGAGATCAACTTGTTAGACTAATTTTAAGATGCATTTAAAGAAAAGTGGACTATTCCTTTTGAGAATTCACTCTGGCGTGATCCTTACTAATGCTAATATTAATGCATTCTTGTATCTCCATGTAGAATTTCACCAATCTCTTCGGTCAGCCGCTGGTGTGCCTGCTATCTCCCACAGTCTATCCAAAGAGCATGCAAGGTTAGTTTGTCACTATTATTACAGCTTTTTACGCCTATGTACTCCTCTTAATTAGCGCGTTACAGGCAACTGTCAATTACTTTCATTGTTGAAGTCGGCAATTACACTGTGCAAACTCTTAACTATTCTAGAAAATAGCTCGTAGAGCTTGTCAGTTCATTCTCAAATGCATTGGCCTATTAATACCAGCCATTGTACTCGTTTAGACCTACTTATGTGGCAGATTGTTTTCCATTGGATTCTGCTATTATTTTAATTCATTTTATTGATTTGGTTTAGAAATTTGTGGGCAGAATAAGCCACGTGAGATGAGACGTTTTTGTGGGTGTTCTGAGAAAAACTGTTCTATGAATGCATCTCAACCTGGTCTCCTTCTTCTCTCAGACCAGTCCCAGCGCGGCAGCCTCTTCACACTCTTCCTTTACTGCCCCCTTCTGGCCTTCCTGTCAGTGTGTGGCCTGAGCAGCCTACGCCAAGGATTGTGGGAGAAGGCAGAGGAGTTTCTATACAAGGTGTACCGTGACATCGGCCAGATGATTACACGCTCACAAGCTATAGGTATGTTTATTTTTGTGGCAATTTTTTAGACGTTTTGTCATTTTAAGTGCAAATGTCACAACCATAACGGTGGAATTTCTCCTTCACAGACCAAGCTTTTCTACAGTTCTACGGTGATGAGTTCCTTCGATTGTTACTGATCCGCTTTGTGTTCTGCTCGGCTACACTGAGACTGCACAAGCTCTTCCGGGTAAATCAGTTTTATTGTGCCCTTGATACTTAGTTACATCTCCCATAGTTATTCACGGCAGTTACGGTAATTAGGGGCTAAAATGTAATGTCCCTTCTCTCTCTGTCTGCCTTTTGCAGGAGTCCAGGAGCTTCCCGGAATCGTACCCTCAGCTACCCAAACAGGACACGGTGGAGAGCAGCCTCCTGCAGAAGCATGTTCTGGAGCTGGCTGCCATGTTGGATGTGCGGAGCCTCTTTTGGGACGGAACGCTGGACGTGAACTACTGACCTTCAGCTGCCCAGCTAGTCACCACAACTATACAAACACAGACCAACCACAGACACGCAGACCACCGCTATACACACTCGCACAAGGGAGAGTCCTCATCTTTCAGAGGTAATGAAGTTACTGGTTGAACACACTGCAATAGTGTCCGTTTCTTTTTAACCCAAGACCCCCTTATTTTCCCCACCTTATCTACTTTTTTACCCTATCGGCTATATTTATTTTGAATACATTCATACAGCTACTTGTGGAAGTCAACTATGTACAATGCAAACATGAACAAGTCACCTAGCTACTTATATCCACATGAGATGAGCATGTACTTCCGTGTTGTTACTCATAAAAAAGCACTCAAATGAACACATGGTGCAGCTATTTTAGTCTGAGGGCGGCAGGAGGACATATGAAGCTATTGAGGGCTTTTACACTTAAAAAGACAGAAAAGAAATTAACATAGTTTTGCAACAGCACTGCCTGCAATGGGTTCTAGATGGACTGCAAATGGACTTCAATGCAAGCTGCAGGGATGTCTCATCTTCTGTGCGTGGGTAGATGTGTTGGCCAAGTTGACTGGATGTAGGGTTTAGAGTGAGACTACTCTGCATGTTTGTTTACCCGACTAGATCTGCTGGTTTTAACACATATCTAATTCTAACGTAATTGCCTGGAAGTTGCTTTTTTTAGTTTTGTTTCATTAGTCTGTTCTGTATAACTGAGGCCTGGAGGGGTAAAGTAACAGAGTGCCTATGCAGACCCTCATGAACAGTTTAGCCCTGTTCAGAAACAACCCCTTGCCCCTACCCTCTAGGCACCAGCTCCGACCCTTTAGGTACCAGCTCCTACCCTCTAGGTACTAACATAGGGTGGCGTAGTCGGCGGCTCTGAATGATCTGCAAACATGTCAGCTCATTTAGTGCAGTGACTGAGCAAGCGGGTGGTCGCTAATCTATTTTCACTGTCTTTTACTCCTTGTATCAGAGAAAGTTTTCGGACTGTGTTTAACACGGGTATATGTTTAAGCACCCTGCAGGTACACAGCTACCCAGCCCCTCACAGGCTAATCAAAATAGATAAATAGACATCTCTCCCAATCTTCTGCTTTTTCAAAGAAATCACTTCAGAAACCAGGGTAACACTCCTTCTGGGGTGGATCTTTTAAAAGATTTTTCTTTGACCTTGATTGGCAGCATATCGTTGGCAGCATATCTTTTGAGACATTGCAGGGTTGGAAAAGGCCTCTTTCTCCATGCTGTAGCCTATATGTTTTGGGGGTTGCATCCCATGGCAATTCTAGTCTTACGTGTATCCTCTTCTTTACCGGCTTTCTCCTGACCAGTTCTTTCAGACCAGTGGGGATGAAGGAAAGTAGGTAAAGGGGGGAGATTCTGAGATTCACCCCTCCTGATTCAAAAACGGTTGGTTTCTGGGAAATGTAGGACTTTTAGAGGCCCTGTGTCATTCATTATAACTAAGCCCCCATAATGGCATTCCTCTGTCTTACGCATGATGGTTTACTGGAGAGAGTTCATGCTGCTGTTTCTCTCTTTCTTTGCATGTCTTATCAGTATTATTGTCCATAGAGTTTACTCTGTGGAGTTCATGTTAGTCTGATTGCAGGTCAGTTCCAGCGTTAGCCGTCTAGCGAGTGCTCTGCATGGCAGCAAGCATCTTCTCATTTCCTTTTATTGATGGGGGCTTGAAGCAATGGAACCGGCTAGTGCTGAAACGGACTCCTGGCAACCAGTTTTAAGTATGTGTGTGGTGATGAACAAAAATAGCCAAACAATTTTGTTTTTTGTATTTACTGAGAGAGAAAAAAATGAATTTCAAAAGTAAGAAAATCACAATTTTAAATGTATATTTATGTATAATTGAAAATAACCGTATGTGATACAGAGAGATGTTTTGTCTTTAGTACGTATGTCGAATAGTTAATTGTAGAAGCTGTGAAAAATATATGCAGTTGGCATAGCAATTTAATGAATGAACTGCACATTGTCCCCCCCCCCACCCCCCATCAGTTGTTTTGGTCAAATTCAGCCAGCATACATTCCAAGGATATGGAGAGAGTTGGGGAAACTGACACGGTTCTCCCAATTGTAACATTGAAACAAACAAAAGTGGACCATTTCAACATGGGAAATACTACTCCCCATGGCAATTATAATAATATTTTGTTTATTTGTTGACAATGATAATATGATTAATAATGATGATAAAAAACAATAGTAGCCTTGCACTTTACTGTATTGAATTATGACCTAATCTTATTTGTCATGCTGTTGGTAAAAAGGCATGCCAGAGACCATCCAATCCATTATTCCCTACGCCACCCCACGATCATTGTAATACACATTTAGATATTTGATGTTTTTTGTCAATGACAGTGGACAAGAACACTGTCCATATTTTTTGTAAAAACATTAATTGTTGTGATATATGATATTATCTATGTTCTTTCATTAGAGCATGCATGTCTGTCCATGTTTGGGATGGCAGCACAGGGCATGATCATCCATGCATGATCATCCAGATCACACAAGACAAGCAGCCTAGCTCACTGGGAAGCACAAACTAGCGCAACAAGCTACACTACCGTAGCTCATATTCTCTTCACTTAAGGGACCCACTTTCATAGAAATGTATATCTACAAAGCCTCTGTGGACTGTTTCATTCAAACTGCCTTTTGGTTTTATCCAGTTTCTTTTTTCTTTTTTCTTCAAGCACATCATGGACCAGGCATCACAATCCAATTTTTAATTGCCTCCATTTTTATGGACAACTCCAATTCCCATAAGAGTTATCACTGCCAATACAAGTTGACTGATAAACTGTCAGGGGAAGGCCATGAAGAATTACTGTCCAGTTGAGCATATCACCCATGTCTTCTTGGACTATCCCTGATTCATGAATTTACAAACATGACAAAATCCTCAAGGGAAGAGGAAAAGCCCAAACACCCATACTTAACTAAACCTGATTCACCTGATTGATGCATTGTGACCGTGTCATATCATAACACTGTGAATTGTATGCAGTAAAACCATTTCGGGACACGTTTTCCTGCTTTGTCTTTGGGCCTTTGTTTACAGCCCGTTTTAATCTTGTGGTGACTTTACTCTCCTCCATGTAGTGTGTTATTGTGCATTGTAGTTAGGAGCAAGAGGGGAACAAAAAGCACTCATATTCTTACAGAAAAGTGTCAACGCTTCCTGTGCAAACTTAAGTGAAGCAACCCCTTTACTGTGTATCCCCATCCCAAAATAGGTCTTACTAGTGAGGATAGTACAGTACATGTAAAGTACATATGATATTTATGCATAATGACAAAGCCCTAGACACCATTTATTTATGTTATAATACCGGTAAACTTGTAAATCGTGACAGGATGTGACTGTCCTCTTTCCCCTGTTGGCATGTAGTTGAAGCCCTAATAAGGTGGAACGTTGAGAAACAAAGGAATGTCCATTCTATAAATTACTTACCTATTATTTGAAAGTCATGTCAATTCTGTGCAATATATTTCTATCTGCAATGCTCTGAACGTTTCGCACCATTGGATAAGCCCTAGACGAGTAACACAATGATATGGAACAAAAATATATTTAAATATGAACCTAAATTAATTTCTTGGGCCTAAATCTAAAATGTTACTTTGAGAGTAAGGGTGTTCTTTCTACCGGTTCCTACTGTTGTGGGAGGGAACGATTTCAAAGTGAGATATTGGTCGGAATACTCTTTCTTTATAAGTTAAGGGTTTCTAGAGATGCTAGTTAAACATTATTTGGCATTCTTTTGTTTATGTCCTTTAAACGGTTCTGTCCCATTTGTTGCCAATTATATTTGATGTTATTGTGAAGTATGAAGGAAAAACAAGTTGACTAAAATACCAAAACATGCAAGCTTTTTTGAATGCTCTTTAAGAAAAATTAAAAGTTTGACTGTTTTGTTTCAGTTTGTGTGAAATGTATTGTCTTTATTGAATAATCTTCTGGCAGAATATATTGTTTAAATCTATTTTATTTATATATCCTTTTTTAAATAGGTGATTCCTTTGACTCTTCTCTGTTAAAAATGTGACTTGTCACAAAAGCATCACTCAAACATTTATTTCACACACAAAATCAACAATACAGTAGGCATAGGCAAGATATGAAGAGATGCCTTTGGACTGAAGACATTAACAATGTTGCTGAATTCATTTACAGACACACCACTCCAATTTTAACAGATTTTTGCAATGTGTTCCAGGGCATGGGAGTGTAGTAGTTAAAGGGATATTTTTCTAACCAAAATCAATGTCCCTCACTTATTAGCATACTATGAATTGTACCTGTTTCTTCTTGCTCTCAAAACGAAAAACAAATATTTCAGGAACAAAAAACTAAATATAAAAGTCCTTACTGTGTGACAATGGTCCCTTTTTTAATGGTCTTCAGTAATCTGATTTATCGAAGGGGTTTATGGACCGATATCTGTGTCAGTGATGGTTGTCTTACAATTAGACACCCCTAGCTTGTGGGGTATTGGTTGATTCCCTGGGTGGCTGTAAGGTGTACTTGTTTAAAACCCTGTACGAAGAAACGTCATTTGGAGCTTAACATTTCTGGTTAAGCATAGAGGGTAGGCAGTTTTCATTCATTTGATTTAGGGCTCTATTCAATCCATATCGCGGAAGTTCTGTGTGATTTTAAATTGAAAGGTAAAGTTCCCATGTCAGTGGAGACTGCATTCACGGTAAACGCTGCATGTCGGCCCAATCGAAAATTAACTTTGTTTACTGCCGCCAACACTGCTTTACAATTTTTATAAATTCAACCTTGCCTCCTGATAGGTATAGCCTTCTTAAATTGATAGTTCACAAAAAATACAAATGTACATGATTTAGCACTTACCAAGGGTATTGTCGAGCAAACATCCAAAACCAAATTGACCCCTACGTACTTGTTACCACATAGCTCCACTTTACCTTATGATAGACCAAATGGAATTTTCTCCATATTGCAATCCTCACGGCTCTCTACAAGTGCATAGGACGGGGTTACTGAAAATATCCACTTTGTGCTTGCATAGCTCATCTAATTAAAATGTGTTAAAAACGAAAAAAGAATATACTATTTGGATGAGTGGTGTTTTTCTCTGGAACTGAAGTTTGTAGATTCACAAGAAGATGAGTTCCTAGTGTGGAGATGGAGCTAGCAGTTTGTCACACATTGTGTTCAATCTGAACAGGAATACAGGTTCCACAGCCAAATTCACTACCAACCTGCAGAATATACTAGACTAGAGGGCAAATGACAAGGACACTTGTTCCCAGTTAAGATGATCCATGAGTTTTATTGCAGCAGGCACTTTACAATGAAATACCCCATTATTCAATATCCCCCACCCACCAATTAATTGAATTCAATGAATCTCAATCTCTTTATATTAAATGTACTTTGTCTGTACAAAAATGACAATGAGACAAACTTAAATCTAAATATTCAACACTGTGAGCCAAAGGACATACACTCGCAAGCACACTCAATGTGTCACACAACACACACACTGGTATAAAGGTACAGTTGGTACCAAGTAACACTTGATGCACACCCTTTTACCTGCCATGTTCATGTCTCGTTATTGGTGTATCTGTCTTTTCCTTCCCCCACCCTCAAAGAAACAAATGCTGATGCTTATGAATAGTATTAGAACAGAAATGCAATGGTGAAAGAATGACAAACTTGTGATTGGGTACAAATGATAATCCTATACATATAATTTCCTTTAGTTACAGCTAAATATTTTCTAACAGAAAATAATGTTTCCTTTTCTTGTATGTTTTTTTTTTTGTCTTTAACTTATGTAGTGTAAGGGTTTTTATCTTCAGGAAGAAATGTATTGTAATTATAAGCTACTATCCCTTATACAGAAGGCAGTCACTCCTCTTGCCAGTGGTCATGCGGGAGATGCTCCACGTGATGATAAAGCACGTCCCCTCAAACTGTCTTTCGGGCCGTCAGAACTCGAACGATTGACCCTAAGCCCCCAACTGCGAAAGCCTGAGTGAAGACAGAGGGGAAGAGCCAAATGAACAAACATCATACACACATGATACATTAGGTCAGGGATGGGCAATTTTGATGGGGGTGGGGGTCACATCTGAATTCATCATGAGGGGCCGCAGTTGCTCGCAGGTCTGCGTACCCATGTGCATACCCCCCCACCACCACCACATTGTGAGCAAAACATTTTAGCAGCCCCCCTCTTGACAGCTGAGAGAAATTTAAGTTTTAGAGTTAATTTCGTGCAATTCTACACATAGAGAAAATTTTGTTTTAAAGCAAGTTTGCTGCAACTCTACAAATTGCCATGGAGCGGAGAGACAATTTAGCAATATTACACATTTCATGTAATTCTACTAATTTTGTCATGGGACGGAGAGGAAAATGTGCTGTTTTATAGCACATTTCCTGCAATTCTACACATTTTGCTATACAGTGGAGAGAAATGTTTACCGTTTTTAATATAAGTGAGACTGACTAACAAAATCAATGGGGGCTCCCCGGACAGTAATTCAACCAAAATAGCTGGCCGCTAGACTAATTTACCAATCCAAAGATGTTTTGCTGACATGGGCTAATTGAGTGACTATCAGTAAAAAACTGCTGATGCACAACCAAATTTCAAAATTGCACCTTGTGTATTTTACTATTCCAACTTGCCACAGTAAATTGAGACCCCGACTAAGTTTCCCCCATAAAAAAAAAAGTTTTTTATTTTATTTTAAGATCTGAGGGCCTTCAAAGGGGGTGCCACCAGTTGCCCATCCCTGTACTAGGTGGCTTAGAGTTTAAAGTTCGCAAGTTCAGATAGCGCTTTCACACCTTTTCATGCCACTGTAGGAGAATGGCACTGCTATTGTCAGAGGGCTTCTCGAAGCCTCTATATATGTACTTCATAAGCAGGTCCACCCCACTTCTGTCAAGCGACTTGACGGCTGGCTCAATATCGCCGGACTTGAATGACGTCAACACTCTCAGCACTATTGCCAGAGCCCTTTCCTGCAAGACAGCAAGAGAGAGAGCATGTTTACGAAAGTTATTTACATCAGTGCAGATTCCCATGAGAGGCAGGCAACATTTTTTGGATGCTTGCTAAGCCTCCTGCCATGAGCTAGTGTTACGACGTTGCTTGTTGGCGAGTACCACTTGCACCAGATTCGGCTCATGCCTGGCTTGAACTCGGGACCTCTGCTTTGCTAACACGCGTGACCGCCCTCCTTGACAACATTCCAATGGTTTGAGCCACCCAAAAGGTACCAATTGGATGGCTCCATCCGCGACATTTCAAGCTAGCTGTGGAGTGGGCTTACGGTACGTTCTTAACTCTGTTACACTAGCATTCTAAACCAATGTCAATATTGACAAAAGGAGCTTCCCACAAAGTTACATGATGCAAGAGTACAATTTCAGATTTGATTCACATCTTGGCCCATTACCTTTATTGCTGGATTCTTAGAGTTGACAGGAGGGTTCCGGAGAGCAATGTGAAAAGCTGTCATCATGTCTCCTGTGCATTAGTCGGTTAAGGAATGTAATACTTCCTATTGTCATATCCTAAATAGGTTTAAGGGGCAGGAACACATAATGCATCTCAAATGTTTTTCGACCAACAGAAACAGACCGATATCAGGGAGGGTTTTGATGCCAGCATCCAATGTGAGATCTCTTGAGACCTTAGGCTGCGGTTACACAGCCAGCCCAATTCTGATATTCTTCCAGGAATTGGTCTTTTGACCAATCACGTCAGATCTTTTTCAGAGCTTATCTAATTGGTCAAAATATCAGTTGGGCTGCCTGTGTAAACGCAGCCATAGAGGTGTCCGATCATAAACAGCCAGACCAACCATATTCCCAAATGATTCCTCTCAAATGGAGCAGAATGACGCAGAGGATCAAGCGCAGAGAGATAGATAGCTATACCACCTTATAACGTGGGGGGGAAAATATATATTTTACTGGCTTCAAGCTAATCCTGACCTGGTGTCACTGCCCTGAATGTGGCTCACTCGAAATAAACATACCTCGACATAAGGCCCTTATTAAAGGGGCCATGTTGACCCAACTGACACTCTGAAACTCCTGCCTCACCCAAATCAAATGGCACAGTGATTTCCCTAATCGATACTGGAGCAACTGTGTGTGCTTTGCATGCTAGTTATAGGCAACTATGTTTAGACATAACTACCTAGCTAACTGTTAGTTAGCAAATAGCTAAGACATCCAAGAGTCTCGGGTTTAGGTAGCTCTGGAGGGCGCCCTGGTCTGGACCAGAGCTAAGGACTGTTCAGCCAGATATATCCTCCATTGGCTAGCTAGTTAACAACCTAAACATACATATTTACACAACATCAACTAAGCTAGCTAGCAAGATACATTTGTCAGCACGAACACAAAAGCTATGTTGAGCATTTGGGTTTTGGATTAAAAACAAAATCACATCAAATCGCCGAGGCTATCTGTTAGCTAAATGTGCTAGTTAACATGGGGGGCATGCGCATGAACGTAAAGGATATTGCCTGATGAGGTTGTCTATCTCCGCGGCGTCCGGTCCTTGATTATCGACAACCTCATCGTGATCATCCACGAATTTGTTCTCATCAAATTCATCTATGTCGAGTTTCCTGAATCGCGACGAAAGAGTGTTTTTCGCCATCGGAGCCACTTCGCTGGAGGAAACAGTAGCTAGCAAGCCAGCGAGCTAGTCCTCCACGGCGCTGTTGTTGAGTTGATTCGAGCGTAGTACAGCGTACTTGCTCTGTCGGTGCTCTTGCTAGCTACTTGCAAGCAGCCACAGTCTACGCAGATGAGACAAGCTAACGGTGTTTTGATTGTAATTTGTCTAGATAATATTATCTGCCAGTGTTACACAGTCATTACTTTTCAACCAAGTATCTAGCTAACTAATTTGACACGCGATAGTGTTGTTGTCAGATTCATTTTCACCTACGTGAAGCCAGCAGCACTAACCGTCACTTCCGGGTCAAATATTTGAAAAATCCTTCAAAATAAGTGTACTGCCCTGAAACCTAGACAATTATTGTAAATAAAATATAAATGCCAAAAAAAAGTAGTACGGTACACCTTTGTCATTATATTTTATTCAACTTATCAAACTCAATACATTTCGAAAAAAAATTGTGATTTTTTGTTTCAGTCCATTGGCCTTTCTGCCACTTATATTCGTCTCATAGAGAATGATAGAGGCCTCTAGTGGCCAAAAAGCTATGTTAGCATGGGCAGCGCCATTGAGGGCTTCCACCATTTTAATGTAGTCAACTGGGTGGGACTGAAAGTGTCCTAATGCTTCCCAGCCGGATTCGGAAGAGTTTGTGCATTTATTATGATGACATTTTGTGACTTTTTGGTCGTTTTGGACTTCGGTGAGGGTTTTTGACTTCGGTGAGACTATTTTGAGGAAGTGTATACTGACGATGGTGTCTCAAAATGGAAAAACAGTACTATTGACACTTCTTTCTTGTTTTTTAAGCGAAGGTCTTTTAAGGCAGTATGCGAGCACACTCGTTCGGTTCGGCTAGCCGAGTTTGGCTAGGCGCCAGCTTACCTGAAGCATGCTGACGCCTTTCCAACTTAATTGTCTGATCCCTCCTGGTGACCATGTTGGAGTCATGTCCAACGGGGTCATCAGTAGGGATCAGCCAATCGTGAAGAAGAAAATGTACTACTTCAAAATGGAGATTGCCTCAATGGTGCTGCCTATGCTGTCACAGACGCTACAGTATAATGGCACAGATACAAAGATGAGTCCTCCATTTATCTCTATGATTCCTGTAGTTCAATGGATGCTTTTCCTCTGGTTGGCTGTGAAGTTGAGGGTTGGGGCTGTTGGGAAAATGTAGCATAAGTTACCACTCTCAAATTCATATATTGTGTTTTGAGATCAACTACATTACAGTCTGACTGTGTAGAATCACTGATCTACAGATCATCTTGTAATCCAAACTGATTCTCTCAAATGCACTGATAGACAGAAATATAGGTCTATGGATGCAAGGACCTAGACCAACAATCAAAAGATTTAAGTGACAACCATAACATGAAAAGTGGAGTAAAACAACCGTAGCCTATGAATTTGGTTATTACTAGGGTAAGACAGGACTGAAAATGTTGAGTTAAATTCTTCAAGAACCAATATTAAAGGGAGTCAAATGTAATCTCATGTTCGAGGGGATACACCTGAGCAAGGTGCTGTGTAGATTCACTAATGTTCACATAATGAGTTGAGGTGCTACACTTATTTTTATAAACTCGGTGGTTGGAGCCCTGAATGCTGATTGGCTGAAAGCCATGGTATATCAGACAGTTTACCACGGGTATGAAAAAAAGTACTATTTACTGTTCTAAATACGTTGGTAACCGGTTTATAATAGCAATAAGGCACTTCGGGGGTTTGTGGTATATGGCCAATATACCACGGCTAAGGGCTGTGTCCAGGCATTCTGCATTGCGTCGTGCATAATAATATCCATGGTATATTGGCCATATACCACACCCCCTCATGCTTTATTGCTTAAATATATCCAGAGATTTTGCGCAGCTTCTTCTCCTTCGGTGGGGTTTTGCAGCAGACTACATAATTTAATGCTGTATTGCCGCCACCAACTGGACGGGGGTGAAAAATGTGTCAAAGAAAAGTAATTCCATTACAGGGAAGGGAGAGATAATATTAATCCGCACAAACTACAAAAAATTATTAACATTTAAAAAATATATATATATATTATTGTGTGTCCACACCTACTCTTTCAAGGGTTTTTCTTTATTTTTACTATTTTATACATTGTAGAATAATAGTAGCCACCCTTTGCCTTGTTGACAGCTTTGCACACGCTTGGCATTCTCTCAACCAGCTTCATGAGGAAGTCACCTGGTATGCATTTGCATGCACCTGGTATGCAGTGGTCTAAGGCACTGCATTGCAGTGCTAGCTGTGCCACTAGTTGAAGTAATATGTACCCACATGTACATATTACTTCAACTACCTCAACTAGCCGGTGCCCCCGCACATTGACTCTGCACCGGTACCCCCCTGTATATATAGCCTCCCTACTGTTATTTTATTTTACTTCTGCTCTTTTTTTCTCAACACTTTTTTTGTTGTTGTTTTATGTTTACTTTTTTGTTAAAAAGAAATGCACTGTTGGTTAAGGGCTGTAAGTAAGCATTTCACTGTAATGTCTGCACCTGTTGTATTCGGCGCATGTGGCCAATAACATTTGATTTGATTTGATTTGATAGAGATCCTGGTTCGAATCCAGGCTCTGTCGTAGCCGGCCGCGACCGGGAGACCCATGGGGCGGCGCACAATTGGCCCAGCATCGTCCAGGGTAGGGGAGGGAATGGCCGGCAGGGATGTAGCTCAGTTGGTAGAGCATGGCGTTTGCAACGCCAGGGTTGTGGGTTCAATTCCCACGGGGGGCCAGTATGAATTAAAAAATAAATAAATAATAATGTACACTAACTGTAAGTCGCTCTGGATAAGAGCGTCTGCTAAATGACTAAAATGTAAATGTAAATTTAAAATTAACAGGCGTGCCTTGTTAAAAGTTAATTTGTGGAATTTCTTTCCTTCTTAATGCTTTGAGCCAATTGTGTTGTGACAAGGTAGGGGGAATACAGAAGATAGCCCTATTTGGTAAAAGACCAAGTCCATATTATGGCAAGAACAGCTCAAATAAGCAAAGAGAAATGACAGTCCATCATTACTTTAAGACATGAAGGTCAGTCAATCCGGAAAATTTCAAGAACTTTGAAAGTTTCTTAAAGTGCAGTCGCAAAAACCATCAAGCACTATGATGAAACTGGCTCTCATGAGGACCGCCACAGGAAAGGAAGACCCAGAGTTATGGCAATTAACTGCACCTCAGATTGCAGGCCAAATAAATGCTTCACAGAGTTCAAGTTATTTTATTTATTTATTTTTGTGTGTGTTTTTTTTCACCTTTATTTAACCAGGTAAGCCAGTTGAGAACAAGTTCTCATTTACAACTGCGACCTGGCCAAGATAAAGCAAAGCAGTGCGATTAAAAACAACAACACAGAGTTACATATGGGGTAAAACAAAACAAAGTCAAAAATACAACAGAAAAAATATATATATACAGTGTGTGCAAATGTAGCAAGTTATGGAGGTAAGGCAATAAATAGGCTATAGTGCAAAATAATTACAATTAGTATTAACACTGGAATGATAGATGTGCAAGAGATGATGTGCAAATAGAGATACTGGGGTACAAATTAGCAAAATAAATAACAATATAGGGATGAGGTAGTTGGGCGGGCTAATTTCAGATGGGCTGTGTACAGGTGCAGTGATCGGTAAGGTGCTCTGACAACTGATGCTTAAAGTTAGTGAGGGAGATAAGTGTCTCCAGCTTCAGAGATTTTTGCAATTTGTTCCAGTCATTGGCAGCAGAGAACTGGAAGGAATGGCGGCCAAAGGAGGTGTTGGCTTTGGGGATGACCAGTGAGATATACCTGCTGGAGCGCATACTACGGGTGGGTGTTGCTATGGTGACCAATGAGCTAAGATAAGGCGGGGATTTGCCTAGCAGTGATTTATAGATGGCCTGGAGCCAGTGGGTTTGGCGACGAATATGTAGTGAGGACCAGCCAACAAGAGCGTACAGGTCACAGTGGTGGGTAGTATATGGGGCTTTGGATGGCACTGTGATAGACTACATCGAATTTGCTGAGTAGAGTGTTGGAGGCTATTTTGTAAATGACATCGCCGAAGTCAAGGATCGGTAGGATAGTCAGTTTTACGAGGGCATGTTTGGCAGCATGAGTGAAGGAGGCTTTGTTGCGAAATAGGAAACCGATTCTAGATTTAACTTTGGATTGGAGATTCGTAATGTGAGTCTGGAAGGAGAGTTTACAGTCTAACCAGACACCTATTTGTAGTTGTCCACATACTCTAGGTCAGACCCGTCGAGAGTAGTGATTCTAGTCGGGTGGGCGGGTGCAAGCAGCGTTCGGTTGAAGAGCATGCATTTAGTTTTACTAGTGTTTAAGAGCAGTTGGAGGCTACTGAAGGAGTGTTGTATGGCATTGAAGCTCGTTTGGAGGTTTGTTAACACAGTGTCCAATGAAGGGCCAGATGTATACAAAATGGTGTCGTCTGCGTAGAGGTGGATCTGAGAGTCACCAGCAGCAAGAGCGACATCATTGATATACACAGAGAAAAGAGTCGTCCCAAGAATTGAACCCTGTGGCACCCCCATAGAGACTGCCATAGGTCCAGACAACAGGCCCTCCGATTTGACACATTGAACTCTATCTGAGAAGTAGTTGGTGAACCAGGCGAGGCAGTCATTTGAGAAACCAAGGCTATTTAGTCTGCCAATAAGTAACAGACACATCTCAACATCAACTGTTCAGAAGAGACTGCGTGAATCAGGCCTTCATGGTCGATTTGCTGCAAAGAAACCACTACTAAAGGACACCAATAAGAAGAAGAGACTTGCTTGGGCCAAGAAACACGAGCAATGGACGTTAGACCAGTGGAAATCTGTCCTTTGGTCTGATGAGTCCAAATGTGAGATTTTTGGTTACAACCGCCGTGTCTTTGTGAGACGCAGAGTAGGTGAACGGATGATCTCTGCATGTGTGGTTCCCACCGTGAAGCATGGAGCAGGAGGTGTGATGC